TATTTTCTCATATATCAGTCCACCGCTGCCAAGCTTTCTATCAAGAAATACAATGCGCTGCTGCTGATCAGACATAAATCCTTCAAATGCAAGGTTGGTTTGATAGACATTCAGTCTGGGGTTATAACTGCTTTTCCTCGGGTGCTTTGTGGATTGGGTAAAACTTTTTAGTGGCAGGCTAACTATGGCCATTGACATGCACTAGCCTAGCACCAGCGACCTCTGCAAATACAAGGACTGGATGGAAGATAAAAAAAAAAAAAAAAAAGTGTTTCTACACATCTCCAACACTCTGGCTAGCTAGGAAATGAGGCCCTGTGTCCAAAATTCCAAACTCTCCCTTTAATTTGTTATAATTTGCAGATTAAACATAACAGCACATTGCAAACACAATATTCTAGCTCAAGAGGAATCATTCCGGTGTTACATAAACTTCCTCCATCTCCAGCTGACTTGTGACTCCGACAGATTCTAGTCCACATTTTGGCCCCATTTCAAACAAAAACAACTTCCTTGTACATTCTCAAAATACACTTTTGACTTTGCCAGTCCAGCATCAATGACTCTTTACAAAACCTTTGGCCATAAGAATACTAGAGACAAACTCAAGGCTTACAAGACAGATTGAGATATGATTTCTTCCACTTTTTAGTACACTTCAACATGACCTCGAGAATGCTACACTAAATATGGTGCAACATTGAAACTCAGGTTGGATTTACTGTTACCTAAAGAGAATACATACACAACGGGTCAAAACAACATAATATCCTTCAGCCAATGCAGATGAGTTTTACCCCAGAGACTTTTTTCCAGGTTACAATGATACAGAAAGGTCCACTGAAGGCGTGGGTGGTTGGCTGTAAAAGTGTATAGATTGAATTCCATGCATTTTAGTTGGAGTGATTTAGAGAAATGATCAAATCTAATGAGTGTTCATGAATTCAATTATGTACGCTTGGTTGTATATTGATTATTTCTTTTCTGGCACGCCCAGGGATTCAGATGGAAGCAGTGATGTATAATCTAGAAATTACATTTTTTGGACTACGAGTACAGCTAATGCAACACAAATGCAGGGGCAGAGCTGGGTGAAAAAGGAAGGGGGGCAATTCCGACCAAGCCCCCCTACCCGTTTGTGTTTTTTTTCAATAGGGGAGAGGGGCTAATTTTAGGGAGGGATACTGTCCCACCAGGGGAGATGATTGGTCCTGAGAGGAACGGACATCTGGGACATCTAAGACATATAAGACATATAGAAGACACTTATTCAGTTCCACTAGAGAACCAGTCTAAGGAGGAGATCCAGTCTGCACCAGTGGACCTACAACCTGATGTGGTTACTGAAGGGTACATGTACACGGACTGAGGGTGGAAATTTGCCATTTTGTATAACCTGGCACCAACATATTTCCTCTTTGTGTAGGTCAGTGCTTTCATGTACATTGTCCCTGATACATAAACAAATAAACTAAAAACTAAACTAAAATCTAAACTAAACTACAGGAGCCAGAAGGGACATGCTTCACCTGCTGTCTCCAAATGTCCTACGTATGTTGATGGGAAAGGGTGAGATTCAGAACAACCACAGCACAGTCCAGTGGTGTGAATCACAAGCACCTTCAAGTAGTGAAGACATGGTCTCGGAAGCTGAAGCTGCCCCAGTTGTTTCCCAAAGTGACTTGAACGAACTAGTAGAGGAGGCAACGTCTCCTTTAGAAACTGAAGAAATATTCATGTTGAAAATGTCCTGGAACACACACCTGCAGAAATCCAACAACAGGTACCTGATGTCACCCAGGACACCACAGCCCTGATCAATGCCAATGACAAGCCCCAGGAGGAAGTCCAAAAAAATTGCAAAAATCTCCAATCATGACCACAGCCTGATGACGTAGAAACATCCAGGAGCATCTCATTGTTGATGGAGATGTTGAATACTTAAATACTGAATACTTAATTGGCAAAAGATCAACCAAACATTTCGAAGTGGAGTATGGCTCTCTGTACGCCCTCTTGAGGCTGTTCTGACCCATCTTCAGTGTCGAGCTGAGAGCCTTCCATACCCACCCCAAATCTTCCCTGTCACGCGTCTTCCACATACTGAGGTAGGTGTGTCAGTAGGCCATCATTTGAGAAGCCCAAACTAAAACCCAAACTAATTAGGATGTCCTGTTGCACTAAAGACACTGTACCTTAGTCTTACAGTCTTAAAAACATGAATAACTACATAAATAATAAATGATTTGCAGTGTTGTTATTCTTTGCCCACTCTATGTATTTCATCCTAATTGTTCAGTGATAAGTTTAGAGCATTTCACAAGACGAGAGCAAACACAGCGACCTTTTTTTTTTTTTTTTTTTTTCCCAAAAGCTGCTTATACGATATACTGTATCAGTCCTGGGGGAAGATTACTTTTGCTCAAACACATAGTAAACATCTGGTACAGACTCTTTAAGAAAATGTGAGTAATACGTTTGGGCCACTGCAAACAGTTTAAAGTCACTTGCATTAACACAGTGTTTATCTTTAGAAGACCATGACAGTTGGGCACAGCACATTTAAATACTTTTCTACCAAGTAAGCTACGTGAGGTGGATATGACATAGTAACATTCTTAATGCTAGTGTGAGACCTACATCGAGTTAAACATGCAAATTTGGTAAAGTGGAAAACAAAAACCTGCACTTTCCAATTACCATTTTTAACGTTGACCAATTATGAAAGCGGTGTGAAATGAACACCAACAGGGAGAGACACAACATTATGCTGATGTTCTATGCGGTGCGCATATCAACAATGAATAGAGACAAAACACTGATAAGTACCATGAAGTGTTGGAGGCAGGAGGTGGTTCAGTTTCTTTTCTGGCTCTTCTTGTTGACGGCCACCATTTTTGTTAATATTAACCTCAATTCAGACTGACAGGATTATTCTGTATCACGTTATGTTCATTTCCTTCTCTTTTTCTCTTTACTTTTTTCTCTTTTTTCCAATTTTAGTTGAGGTGTTATCAGGTTACATAGTGGAACAATGTGGAAGATAAGCGATACAAAAAATGTGTTTTATTTAAATAATAATGGTAAATAGTCACATTTTTATACAGTGCTTTTAAACCTTCAAGGCACTCAGAGCGCTTTACATCAAGAAACCCCACTTGGGGCCAGGTGGGTTACGTGTCTTGCCCAAGGCCGCAATGTTTATGTTGAGAGTGGAAATACGAAGCGCCAACCTTTGGATCAGTGCACAAACGCTCTACCATCTGAGCAGCTGGTAATGTGGTCCAGTTCTCACAGACTTCCTCATTTGAATTTCAAGTTTTATTAGTTTTATTCATATTCAGAAAATCACATTTAGTGACTTGACAATTTAGTCCTGACTTAAATCCCTCTTTTTTTGGATGCGAAGGGCATCTGGCATAAAAATCTATTAAATCACTTTGAAGGTCAGATGATACTTAATGCTTTCACTAAGTATCATCAATCAGTGTGTCCAAGCTGAGATGTATACTTTAAACATAGCATAGTCACTTGCCAACTCCAGACTTGAATCTCACAGTTTTTGTTGATTGTACCGAGAAGGGCACCTGGCATAAACATCTATTGAATCACTTTGAAAGTCAGTTTATACTTGGTGAAAGTGTGTGGACCAAATGATCAAGAATCACTGATAGAACTTGGACACATTGATTCTGACACTGAAGTGAAATATATTGTCTATTGTATACATACTTTGTTGGCTGGGTTTAGTGATTGGCTCAGTGTTTAGCTCTGCATTGCTGTACTTTGCACCTGGGGCTCATCGGCTCTGCTGTGTCATTATGTTTACCAAACTTTAAAAGACAACAGTGCTCTGTGTAGCTCAACTGCAGCCAAACTTTAAATGAAAGTGAGATGAGAGAGCAACTCAGCCTTAACAACGCTCGCTGCTGCTCACCGTCCCCAGATTGAGTCCAAGATTTTATCGTTTAGTTTAAGGTATTAATGTAGTCAGTAAAATCTTAACTTTAAGTGCATCTGACAGGTTTTCATGTTTTTTTATAATTATCACTTGGCTTGGTGGGGTAGTACCTTTATCATAGTTTTACATCAGTTAAGTGCAGTGGTGGAATGTAACGAAGTAAAAGTACTAAAATGCTGTACTTATGAAAAAAAAAAAGAAAAAAAGGGCGAAGTATCTTTAAAGTGGATACTTTTTACTTGTACTTTCTACTCCACATTTATGAACAGGACTGAAAAGTAAAAGTTTATATTATAGTTTGAGACCTGCTGAAAAGACTGTGATGTAACACATAAAAAAGTATAAATTCAAATGTAGAAGGAAAAAAAAAAGTATAAATTCAGTTGTGTCTGTTGAACAAAATTCAGCCTTATAAGACCTCAAAATCTCTGTGAAATACTTTTACTTGGATATTTCTTTGCTCATATATTTGTACTTTTACTAATATGGGGAAGAAAAAGTTGATGAAAAAGTACAAAAATACACTAAGTGGCAGTGAGAATACCAGGTCACCAATATTGAAAATTCCATCTAAATACAGACAACTGTTTTTCTGCCAGTTTAAACACTCATTTAAAAAAACTAAAGCTTTGCTGTTTATTTGTACTGATTTTATTTACCTCCAAATCAGGTTTTCATCATCTCTGCTGCCCGTGTCCAAGCAGGAAGTAAAATTAGTAAAACAAACAACTAAGCAATATTCTTAGTAATATTTCATGATTATGTTAAATGAGTAGTCTTATCGATCATCTACACTGTTTTTTCTTTGGTTCATCACCATCACATGAACGCATCAGTCAGTGTAGTAAGTAGAGTAATGTTAAGTTATGGAAAATATTTTGTTCTTTTCAGGTTAAGGTAATCAAAAGAAGATAAGCCAAATCAATGTGAGGTGTTTGCTAATAACAGATAGAATGCTAAAAAGTCTCTGAAGCATATTTTGTTCTAAAGGTTGTGACATTTCTCTCAAGTGAAAAACAAACAGAGCCGGGGCCAACAGTCTATTACAGTTGACATTTTATTGACAGTTTGGATTAGAAAGTACTTCTTCAATAAATTCATTCAAGTACAAACTGGAAACTGAAAGAGAAGGCCACGCACAAAGCTGGAGAGCAGAGTAAAAAACTAAAAGGGTTTTCTCAGGAGATTGGAGAAGTGCCGCAAAGAGAAGAAAGAAAAACAGTTGGGGTGGAGGAATCGGCTAAAGTCAGAAATTATCAAAACAACACACGCCTTCATAGAAGGACACAATATGAGTCTTGGCCGCCTTTTCTCAGGCTGCTAAGAATGGTGAGAGCATTGAAGGGGTTGTAATGTTCTTGGCTAATGGCTGTGACTGACAAAGTAGTCAATGATTCACATTGATGATAAAAGGTTGAATAGTTGAAGATTCTGAGAAGACCAAATTCAAATCCAACACCTCTGCTGTATGAAGTTATCAGAGCATTCTTCAGGAGGTTGGAGGCTGGAAGGTCTTTGAAGTGGCTAGCATAGCTCGCACTTTGGCCATCAGATCCTGAAAGAAGACAGTAAACAAAAAATTAAACCTAGAATCAAACAAACATTATATAACCATCAACAATACAACTTCTGGATGAGGACCTGTTGATAAACAAGCCCACTCTGTTAAAATGTGTGTTTTTCAAAGTATTTCATTTGCAAAAAAAACACCTGACAAACACTTGACAAATTGCAAGACAAATACATTTAATACTTCCCCGTGCAAAGCAATCTCCATGGAGACAGCAGAAAGGTTTCACAGTGCAACTTTAAGGGTTGTATAGGTCCTTCAGTCTATTCTATTAACACTGGAGAGAACAGCGCCCTTAGGCCTTGTTTGTTCTGGGGCTGTGGTGAAGACTTTTAATGACAAATCTTGCATTTATTCCGCTTGTCAGTTAAACAACACACACACAGATTCAAACATGCATGTGTTAGAGAAAGTGAAAGTGCCCAAAGACACACAGTCAACCGTCCACCCACTCAAATTCTGCATCAGCTTCCAAAATAATACAATGCATCTGAAAACTAATCAGCTAGGACTCTTCTTTATTTCAAACTTCAAAAATCCACCAACAACCTATAAAAAAGAAAGCACAGAGTCTGCAGTGAAAAAAGCCAATTTGTAAGAATGGGGCAAATGGGATTGGATAAAGTGGTACAATTCAATCAAATTACCCCTTTAATGTGCAAGCGCTGCTGCTACTGCTGATCCCACTGGGAATCAAGTCTCCAGTCTGCAGCACTGTGCATTTTTAAAGTCAAAGTCCGGGCTACACTCTTTTGTTTGTCCTTTCTCTGTGCTATGTGATTGGTTCTGTTGGGCCCAAAGATGCCTCTGGATGCAACGTCCAGCCGATAAGCTCCCAAAAGCAAAGTGCGCTGTATAGAATGAGCTGGGTGTGTGAGTGCTGCTGCTGAGTGAGAGCCAAATCTTTAGCCCAACTGAAAAGTGTTATTCTTCTGAGAAAAGCCAAGATAAGCAGAGGTAAACACCATCTCCAACTAAAGTAGTGTCCACATCACATACAAAGACCCAACATTAAATAGAGTCATTAACTGATAGCTGCGTGCCTGTTTTCAAGGTCTACAGATTATTATTTTGAGAAGTTTGAGCTACTGAACTTTCCTTTTAAGTAGAACTAAACACTAAATCCACTTTGTTGCTACTAAAATATGTACGTATATGGGGTTTTAATAGTATTATCTGATGTCAAGTGTGTTGCTGCCTTCAGTGGCCTCTGCAATTTCCAGTAGTTAGTGACATCACAAATAATGCCCTGATTAATTGTCATTTCAGCATATAGAGGAGCAGTTTAGTCATGTTTTATGCAGTTACTGTCATACTGAAGTGCTTATGTGAAGCATTAGGTCTATTCTTTAGGCAGCAGGTTGGATAAAATGAAATACCAGCCTGTGCTGGAGAATTAAGGCCAATAGCAGATACACTAAAAGGCTCAAATATGGATGTTGTCCTCTACTCACAAGACTGCACTGCATGAGAGTTCATGCAAAACAACTATTTATGCATGTTATTAGGTTCTTTTTTCAGACCAAGGGTTTGTTTTCATACCTGACAGTTTTGACTCATTAGCGGGCGTCCTCAGAGTGGTCTTGTGATGTTGTTGTGACGTGTCCAGTCAGCTGATTTAAACAGATTTTGGTGCTGTTCCTACCTGTGGAGGCAGGATGACAGCGCCATCTGCAGTCCCAGTTCTTTAGGACGATATGCCAGGTGTGTGAGAGTAAAAATGCTTTTTTTTAAACTCTCATATTCCTGGGATAGGGGAGGTGAGGAAGACCGTTTGTGAGCAGTCGAAACTGTCAGGTATGAAAACAAACTTTTGGTCTGAAAAAAAATTTCCTAATAACATAAATTATTGGAAGACCAAATGAACCTGATTGGACAACTATTTATGCAGAAAAAAGTATTAGGAAACAAGATAGTTCAATAGATTAAATTTGTGAATCATGAGTTTAACCTGCCTTTTAACATATATATATATACTAAAAAAACTCTTCCATTCTGTAGTTGTCAACATAAATAATTGAATAAATCGACTTGAAGTGCATATGGCAGATTTTGACGATTCTCTAACTTCTACTTATAATTTGGTGCTGTAAGACCTGTTGCAACTATAAATTAATAGTTTTATACAAGAGGCAGTGTGTGCAGAAAAGTTGAAAAATATGTTGAAAATTACAGGAAGTGGAGCGTTCTATTTTAGAGATTTTTGTACTGAAGAAGCCGCTTGGATGAGCTGTGAAAAAAAAAAAAAAAAAAACGACTTTTGTCCATTTGACAAATTTAATTTCTCCTTTGACATCTCTTTTAGAGCGTTCCATACTGATGACATCACACTAGGAAGAATTCTATCAAAAGGTTAGGACCATAAATACTTACAAAACACATTTTTCCGATACTTTAAACATGATGTCAACAAAATAAAGGCTTTTTTTTTTATATAACTTTACAATAAACTCTGTGTACATTAGGGGAGTTTTGGCCTACTCTACATCATAGTTGCAAGGTAAATTATGGAATTCCCTTGTGTGATGTCATGATTTCCACCCAGGAAGTAACATTTTTTGGCAAGACTGGGAAAGAAAGAGTAAAATGTTTTGTAAAATCTTAAATGTAATGATCTTAACTGTGTTTTAGTAAAATGTGTAGTTAAACTTGTCATAAGCACTTTAATACGCAGCCGCCTTACATATTACCCTTAAAATTCCTATCAAACCAGTAACAGTGTGCACCTTATACAAACCTTGAACGATACATATTTGCATCCGCAACAAGCATGAATATTAATCACAAGTTGGAACTACAGAGCTGCACTTTTTGCTTCCTTCCTGGTTCAGGTAGATTGTGCTGACCGGGGGGTGAATGCTTGCATAGCTGAATACCAAACCCTCATTTGCATATTGGGAGTGATTCATATTGGTGTGAACAAATAGCCTGCACCCCTGAGCTCCCCTGACAGATGAGACAAATTAACAGTTGTAATCACAAAGGGAAGGGCCTGTCACATCACATCACTGAGCAGGTACTTTCAGCAAATCCCAGCGCTGCAGAGAATTCCCAAATACAACAAAAGCTCCAGGGCATATACTCCATTCAAAGTGCATATGGCAGGTTTCCATATTGTATATTGTTTTTCCATGCATTTGAGAAAAAAAACTGTCTTGCCCCAGTACAGATATATTGTATAATCAGCTCTTGAGGTCAAAGGAAGTCTACTGTGTACTGTCTGCATCCAATATAAAGCATTCTATTGCCCAATTATCAGAAAGTATGTAGTCGGCATGTTAGTAATTGTTGGCTCTTCTGGTCTTGCAAATTTGGGAAAAGCTATAAACAGGAAACAAAGCTCATCATTGAGGTATTGTCCATACATTTTTGTTGAGATTTTGTGAAGGAAGTCTTTATTTAAGCTCGTCTTCCTCTATTTTTCAACTTTTCTTTGCAAATTGCCACTTGAAATATTCAACACAGGTACTATCCCACCAAACAAATAAAACAAAACAAAACATGGAAACCTAGTTGAAAAATTTGAGGCACTTAAAAGTATAAAATAAGTGAAAGCCTTTAATAGCACATGGCAGATAAAGTTAAAATCACTGCAAAACGTTTCTGCCCTCCGGGATTCATCAGGGCAAGCTCGAGATGACTGTGACAGTGCAGGTTTTAATAGGTGTAGGTCACATGCTCAATCCCCTGGTGCATGATGGGACATGTAGGCTGAACAGATTTTAGCTATAAGCAATTTAAACTACAGCCCACTTTAAACATGTGACCTACACTTATTACTTTAAACCTGCACTGTGATTGCCATCTCGAGTTTGCCCTGATGAAGGCCAAAGGGCTGAAACGCTTAGGTGTGATTTTAACTTTATCTGCCATGTGCTATTAAAGGCTTTAAATTATTTTGTACTTTTAAACTGCCTCAACTTTTTCAGCTTTGTATTTGAGATGGATCCCTACATTGAAGAGCACCAAAAGGACAATTTTGCACAGTTGCTACACATCCAATTAGCACTCCTGCCCCCTAAGGTTTTGCGAACATGAAAACCTGTCACATGCAGTTATAGTTGCACTGCACTTTTTATCTATAATTACAACATATTTTGAATATCTGTGTACAACAACAAAAGCATGTGATATCTGATTTTTAATCTCTGATCAAAAAGGTACACAGCCAAAAAACAAGGCTTACAATATTGATGAGTGAAGAGGAAGAAAACCCCCTAACAGCTGCAAACCAAAGGATATTTCAGAAATGTCCCCAGATATAGTTTACACACTGGATCTGCAGCCAATAAACAATTACAAAGACAGCGGCGCATCAGCTTGTCTAATCTATCTTCATTTAGTCTGTGCAAAATAAGAGTGGGTCTGGGTCCCTCCTGTCCCAGTCCTGTAAAAATGTTTCACAGTCAATGGAGGACAAGCATAATGCAGTGAACACCATTAAGACATAAGATTATGATCAATATACGCTGAACCACTGAACCAACCCAAACTGTGGTGTATTTTGATTAAATATTGTAATTTGTAATTGGCTTTTGTTAACATTACGGTTGCTGGGTAACAGTTGGAATTACCTCTACATACGTCAAATCTTCCGCATGACCAGTAAGAAAATTATAAAAAAAATAAAATAAAATAAAAAAAAACCTAGAAAACACCATGCAAGATTTTAAATTTTGTGAACTATATTTTTGTGAAATTAGTCTAAGCTTTCACACCTCTGAAAAAAGTAAAAGCCCTGGAACGCCACTTGAACTTGTCAACTAGGACTCCCACATCACATTCAAATTAAACTGTGACGTATTACAACAATGGTAATCACCACAAACATGTTGATTTGAGGGTTAACTCCCACATAAACAATCTACACATCTGATACAAATTACAGCTTAGGCTACGTTCAGACTGCAGGGCTTAATGCTCAATTCCGATTTTTTTGTGAAATCCGATGTTTTTGCGAGGTCGTTCACATTTCCAATTAAATGCGACTTGTATGTGACTCTAGTCTGAATTTTAAACAGCCCGAAAGTGTCCCGCATGTGCACTGGAGACACGATGACATCAACCGCAGCGAGCGTGCTCTGTGTTTATGGAAGTTGTCCAAACATGGACACGAGCCCTGAGCACCTGGCGATTTTAAAGTTCCTCTCGTACCGGAGCCAGAACATGAACAACTTACTTGTTTTAAGGAGGAGATTGAGAAGGAGAAGGACGAGGTCTTTGGCTGTGGCGTTTTTTGGGACAGTGGCAGCGACGTCCGTTGAAAGGAACGTGTGGATGTGGAGACGTAGCCAAGAGTGGTGAGTGGCGGTGTGCTTCATTTCAGTGACACAAAGTTCATTAACAATTTTCACCTACTTCAGTGCAGAATAGTGACGTTTGTGGCTTGTTGATAACGTGTAGGTCGGATTCATGCGGTTTGACCGTTCAGACTGAAGTCGCATGTTAAAAGATTGGATATGTATCGGTTTCAAGACCACATTTCAAAGTGGCCTGGGTCGCATTTGAAAAAAATCAGATCTGTGTCATTCAGACTGTCATTAAAAGATTGGATACAGGTCACATAGGGGCCAAAAAATCTGATTTGGGTCACTTCAGGCTGCAGTCTGAACACAGCCTAACAATATTCTGTGACTTCACTTACTGGAGACATTTGTTTAACATTTACATATCTTTAGCCTTTGGTTTAGCTTTAGCCATGTTGTTTACAAAAAAGCTGCTGGAACGCTCTGAGGTTGGAACGTCCAAATGGAAAAAATCCCAGTTACCAGTTGACTGGAACGCAGCATTAGTCCCAACTTGTTTTGGCACTGTCCGCTCCTTATGCTTTTGAAAATCAACAATTAATAAACATTTTCTTGTGAGGTGCTGCTGCTGCTCTTGGTAACATTTCAACAGGTGACATCAACATATTAATATTAATCAAACGTGATAGTCTCAACTAAATATTGGCTGAGATATCTTATCTTTCAACTTTTCCTGCACATTGTAATGGCAAAATAAACAGTTAAGTCACAGAAATTAGGGTCCTTGACTTGCTATACACCACCTGTGGACCTGCTTCTCACCATCAGTCAGAGAAGAAGTTCCATTAGGTGTATTCCCTAACCTCGAAAAGAACTAAAGAGCAACATTAGCCAATTTAATTATTAACAAAGGTAATGTACTGATACACAACTCCTTTGATTACACTTGTCTGAATCATAGCCCTTTAAATTTTAACCAGGATGCTTAGAGAAACAAAGTGACTCTGCACCAACTTTTTTTTCCCTCTTGCAGTCCATTTTCTTTAATTCCATTTGTCTGTTTTTATCTAACATAAATCTTTACCTGTGGACTTTGAAACTTTACTTTCAAAAGAGCAACAAATAAACACCATTTTAAACAATTCTTATAGGTGATGAATCAAATGCGCCAAGGTTATGTCTGAAAGCTTCACTCAAGACTGTATCTATCAAACGACAACAAATCAACAACGGAAGATGGATAAACAAAGATGTACACAGAAGTGAAGAGGGCGGCGGGGTACAGAAGACATAAGGTAGATGAGGAGGATGTGTTTGTAAGATAGAGAATATTTATTTTACTCCACCAGTCTAAGTTCCTGTGCGTTCCTGCAGAGATGGGTAAGAGGGCTGCACAATTTTGAAAAGAAAAAAAATAATAATATGGATTTTTGTGATAATTGTTGCGATTAGATAGATTAGATGTAAAAAGTATGATTCTCTTCACATGCTGTAAAGATCATTAACGTTTGAGAGAAGACTGAAATATGAACTGGTAAACTAATACAGGAATCCCAAAAATTCAGAATTTGAGAATGTTCAGATTTCTCTAGAAAATGCAAAAAAAAAAAAACTCTTTGTGAAAGGTTTTCAAGAACTAAAAAACTACCTGGATGGAAGCATTCTAAAAACCATTTGTCCATTTAGCAGAATACAAATCAGAATAAATTTTTTCTCTTGCGATGGAACCTTCGACTATGGCATTACACAGAATAAGATATTTTGTTCTTTGCAGAGGACCTTCTACCATCAAAATAAATGCAGCATTTTCCATTCAATAGTGATTAATTGAGTAACCCTGTTATATAATACACATTTTACACCAGCTCATTTTCCTGTTGCTTGTGAGATATTTTTATTGTTAAAGAGCACTATATAATATATACCAATACATACCTGAAGTTGTGTTTTGTTTCATTCACACACACACACGTTTAACAAACTCTACATACTTCCTGTAGGTGTGGTCAGCCTGATGGGCCTGGCATTAACCGTGATGATGAAGTGTTCCTTCTTTCACGCACCTGGGACACTCTCCTCCAGAGAACACTGGGCGACGGGAGGCATGGTCAGTCAGAGCGACCTGACCACGCCTTCAGGAAGTAACAACAGCCGATATATGACACGTCACCACCAACACCGGTGACAGTTCTGAAGATGGCTTGTAGCAGCAGCCGAAACATGTCAACAAGGTAAATACACTTTACTGTATAGTCTTTAAAAAGAACCCAAGTAATTAAAGTACATTAGACAAAATGAACATCTTTGGCTTAACTCTCTTCCGCCTTGTGATGTCATGTGGTAATACAGGAAGGGCTCCACTGTGTTTTCCAAATCCCATACACCTTTACTAGAATCTTTTGGGTAATTTCATCCCGGGAAATTCCAATCTCTACTGAACAGGTGGCTTTTAAATGGAAAACTACTGCTACATGACATCACAAGGTGGAACAGAGCGTTTTGAGCTTTGGAGCTGTAGACAAACTACTAATAAAGGGATACTCAAACATGTGTGAATGAAACAAAACATGACTTCAGATATGTTTTTGATGAGGCAACAACATTCCAACATAGCTGAAAGCTCACAAGAGTCCATTTTGTGTAATGTAGGACTTTTAAGAGATGTGCTTAGTTGAATGTTAGAATGGTAAATTGAAAATGCACATCTTGAGTCTCGGAACTGTGGATAGAGTAGGAAAAGGTTTCTTCAGGTATCAAACAGCAGCTAGCCTGGCCATTCACTCTATTGACCTCCATTAGCTTTAGCCCTTGTGCTTTTTAGACTTGGGCCTGCTCAGTTCAACCCTCAAAACAACATTGAGTTTCAATTTAAAAATACAAAACACAACTTAAACCTTTCCCAACAGCATGCACATTATGCCACAAGAAACAAAGCATTATTATTATGTGAGTTTGACTGCTTAATCAGTGCCCTCTAATTCTCTGCTGTTGAATAAGATGCAGTCATTTGTAACTGTCAATGGTATGCTCGGGTTAACGAAATATGACATCACAAGGTGGAACAGAGCATTTTGAGCTTTAAATATAAACAAACATATAATAAAGGATTACTCAAACGTGTGAATGAAAGAAGACACAACTCGAGGTATATTTCTGATGAGGTAACAACATTCTAACAGGAGTTCAAGCTCACAAGGGTCAATTTAGAGCAATATAGGACCTTTAAAAGTAATATTTTTTATGTTTAGGAAATTGTTATTGAAGACCATATTTGTTTGTTTTTAATAAGTTAGAATAAAATTATGTTAAATTACGAGGGTGCAAAATGTGATGAATGCCCTATGTAATTATCCATCTACTTCTAAAATGTATGTTTAGTATGCATATTATGTAAAGTCTGCAGCGGGAATATATTAATTGCAAGAAGCGAGCAGCAAAAAATACTCTTCTAATTATTTGAAATTCCCAATGGGATTTTCTGTCATGTGTTATTTCCTGATTTCAAAATGAAGAGACAGGCTCACACTTATCTATGCAGAACCAACTTCAACATATGTTTATGATTGATCTTTTTCATACGGCTGATGTCTCACTGCATACTTACAACAAGCAACCCATACACCTTTAGATTAGAGACAGATTTATCCTGAGACTTGTCTTATTAAAGTTATGCGGGGAAAAGGCTGTGCAGTTGATGGAAATATATTTTTACAGAGTATGGGTTCCAGACCTTTGGTTCCGTTTGACTACATTCATGATACATTTTAAACTCTTGTCATATAGAGGACAATCACTCAAATGCAATAACATTATGCTGGTTAGAAATACAAGATCTACTTGTCAAAGCAGTCATTATATATATGAAGGGTATACTAGTCATAATGTTATATGGGATTTACCCATTAGTTCATGCGATAAAGTAAAACCTGTTTTGCTCTAGTACAGATAAATTGTACAAGAAGCTCTTAGGATGAAAATGAGGCCGATGACTGCTGTCTGCATCTAATTATAGAGCAAGCATCTTATTCTCTGCAAAACAGGAAGTCCATCGTTAGCATGCTAATATTAGCATTACTGTGACGGCTCTGGGCTCTGAAAGTTGTGAAAAGAACTTATAAACTTGCTGTGAATAATTAGGATGCAGGGAATGCATAATGTGAGCAATACATTAGGACCGCTGCAAAGAGTACAGCTCCTTTAAACCAAACTTTAAAACTACACTACATAAAAGCACTTTTGTCTGTTTTTTAGAAAGTGCAGCTGGGAGAGGAGCAAAGAGAAATACCTGAGTTATTTTGGACTGCACAGATGATACTATAGTGGAGGACACAGCCTTGTCTTTCTCCTGAGAGCCGTCTCTGTCGAAAGAAGAGGGAGACAAAGTAAGTAAGCAGCAGAACAACACAACAGAGCAAACTGCAGAGAGTATTCAGTATTTATGAGAGCTTCAGACATGTTCAAAGCTGGACAGGTAAAAGGAACAATGGACACGGGAGAGGAGAGACAAAGGGAAAAAGAAAATCTACCATCCCAAAAATAGTAGAACATTGGGTAAAGTAACAGAATTAAAACAGAAGTAAATGTCAATGAAAGAGTTAATATTATATATAATATAATTAATAAAGTTAATATTGTGAACTGCTTATTTTAGTGACCTGCAGACACATAGGACGTGTTATCAAATATCAAAAGCAAATATAACGGTTACTAAGAATAATTGTAATGCTGATTTACTGGTTCTCTTAAGTATAAAAAGGTGGCCATGTTGTTAATGTTATAATTTGGGGTTTGTGTTCAAGACAGAAGAAGGAACCTCTTGTGGGTTGCCAGGTTCAATGCTGAAATCCTGTTGTTAAAATGTAAAAGGACCCTGATGTGAATTATTATAAATAAGAAAAAAATTGGTTAAAAGTTGCAAAGGAAAAAAAAAACTTGAGAGGCTGTGAGGTGCCTCTTTTCCCAGTTTGACATTTTATAATAAGATTGTAACATTGCAGGCTCAGAGAAGTCTTAATTAAATCCAGAAGGTGACATTTCATTCATAACCATTTCTGTGCAGCAGCTTGGACTCAATAAGGACCACAGCCTCACTCTCAGTGGCTGTGCTAAAATGACATACTGCACATAACAAGTTCTTCCCACATTCATCTTAAGGATAATTGCCTCTGCGAAAGGACAAAGCCATTATAGTGGTAAACACACTTAAAATAACATCCACCCCATCTAAAATAGAAACTGTATCATGGATCAATATTTCCTATCATACAATGGTACTGCAAAAGTACCCATTTTTGGTGTTAGGGTTTTTTCCTCAAACCTGATACTATCCCTGATGAAAATTAGCAATATGGATTTTTTGTGCCAATATTCAATATTTGTCTAGGTGGCCGATGCCATCACTAAGGAAGACATATTGTGCTTGAGAGCCTGCTATATAGTTATAATCTATGACACTCGTGGATCATTATGCTAAAACAAACAAGTCAGTTGACTTCCAAGTTAGAAAACGCAGTGCCCAATGGGAGCTGACATCGCTATAAACATCATCACAACAAAGAGTAGGCATCTCTGCTGGACAGCTGTTGATCATGCTAGAGCGTGGATTTTTTTTCATTTGTACCCAAATTACTATGCAACGCTGAACAGTCCTACACATATCAATGATTAAGAAAAGAGAATGGAGAATTTGAGAGAAGTGGGCGTATGCCAGGGGCGGTGAAACAGGGGACTGATCGACAATATGGCATCCTGAAAATAAGCAAGTGCTCAAACATGCACAAATCGCTCTAAATTCAACTTTGGGTGAGTAAATGTTGAAAGGAAACAACTAAAACATGGATAAAAGATCCAAAAAGTCCTAGTCCTATTACCAAGTTCCTACTTCCTCCTTCCACAGACTAACAATCAGGAATAGTTAAGTACACAAATGAACTTTTTATCTGCCATTTGTCATGTGATTGTGTAAACATATTTAGTCATTAGTCTATTCAAAAAGCCAAATCTGATGCATTGAGGACACTTTGGCTCAAAGAGACAGGTGCATCTTAGAAAAAATATGAGTTACATTTTCATTATTGGACTGTTTATCTGGTAAACCTCTCCAATATCATTGATACCAACACTGGAGCCAGTGCATCCACCATCCCTAGTCTACAAATTACAAATTTCAATATCGAGTTTCCAGCCAAATACAAGCCACTTATGATGCTGTGAGAAACATGACAGAAAACAAACCACTACAAATTTGATTGCAAATTAGAATGCACTGGCCCTGATTGCATTAAGCACTCCCTCAAAGAAAATGAAGGTTTGAAAAACCAAACTCAAAACAAAACAAGAAAGCATTAGTCTAGAATATGAAGATTCACAAATATGACCTTCAATCACGCTGGTTGGTCTTAATTTTTTAAATATTGTTATAGAAAAAAAAAGAGAGAATAATTACAAATAAATAATTATTAACTAAATTCTTCTCTTGGTAGCAGATGACAAATTTGACAGATTTTGTTAGAATCAACTTTATGGATCCTTGAAATCCTTTGCATTTGACCAACATCATGCATATTAGCTACATTGAAAATTATTTAATAGAATGGGTACAGAAAAACAAATAAACAAGGGTATAAAGTGATATCTCTGTAGTACATCTTACAAATGACATTTTAATGGTTGCCAAATATGAATCTGAAAACTGTCTTTGAGATAATTTAAAACAAATGTAGATACTTTTTATACTTATATTGAAGCAAGATGATATGTGTATAAATGTAATGGTACTCCAATGTGCAAGCTATCATTTACAGTTAAAGGGCTCATGTTATGCTATTTTCTGATCTCTGTTAGAACGTTTCCTCAAAAACATAAATCTGGAGCCATGTTTTGTTTAATTCACACACATTTAACACACAAACCCTGCATATTCAGCAGAGTTCTTCTCTCAAACAGAAAACACTCCTCTGTGTTTTCTGTGTAAACTCTTTACACCTTTAATAGCATTTGGATAATTTCAGACCTGGAATTGCCCATTTCTACTGAACAAAAGGTAAATGGTAGCTGTTAACTTGAAAACTACCACTTCATGACATTGCATGACATCAGTAGAACAGAGCATTATGAGCTTGAAAGGGTTACTCAAACATGTGTGAATGAAACAAAACACAATTCTGGGTATGTTTATGATGAGGTAACACCATTATACAGGGCTTAAAGCTCACAAGAGTTAATTTTGCATAATACAGGCCCTTTAAACCTCGTATACTGAACCATTCTGATGGCAAATAAATGATGCAAAAGAACATTGCATTTTGTGAAGGCGATTATAGTCAGTGTGATTTGACAGTGAAGTGACTATTACTCATGAATATTTCAGACATGATTTTAACAAGGTGTTATATTGACACGCTCTTGTAGCAGCATGTTTCTCTTCACCACACCTCACCTGTCTTTCTACATGTCCACACTTTTTGTGTCCTTGTGCGTCTTCATCTTTGTCTATAATCGATGACAAACTACCTGTGCACTTCTCCGCACTGTCTTGATACTACTCTGATTGACTGGCATTATTCATTCTTTGGATTGTAACACTGTAACTAGCAATGGTCTTTCACATGTAAGTAAGGAGCACTTGGGTATAGGGGAGGGGGAAATGACACAATGAATATACTCAGATATGATTTTAGTAATCAATCAGAAATGTGCTAAAACATGCCTGTAAATATCTCTAACTTTACGGTTGGTTGAATATTTGGCTATCGATATCAGCTATTGTCCTTCAATCTTTAGCAGAGGCAGATATTTAGTTTTGCCTAAAAAATACATATAGCTTTATGGTCAAATGGAAATGTCTGCCTTACATATCAAAATAGCTCAAAAATAACGGCAGACCTGATTGGCCATCGTGTCTTTGAATTCTAATGTCTGCACTTTGAAAGGCTTGAAAGAGTGAGGAGGGGCAGACAAGCTGAAACTTACCTCGAGTGTGTCAGGCTGGAGGCGGGGCTAGCAGCTGGTGACGCTCCGCTGGGTGAAGAGTACGGTGACAGGGATGAACCAGCTGCCTGCGCAAGTCCTGATAATAAAGATGTTCTGCTTTTTTCAGAAGGAGACCTGGAAATAATGAGGTAGAGATTTCAAATTTAAAGGACATATATTACGTAAAATCGAAAATCTGTTTACATATCCCCATCTCTGTCTCCACTTTTTCTTTGCTTACTACTAATTATTAAAAATAACAATTATTAAAAAAATCCTACTCTGGGTCATACAAGATTAAAAAAAATGTCAAGTAGCAATTTGTCAACTCTAAAAAAAGATAAATGATAATCTGTAGTGACATGTCATTGTAGCGAGCAGCAAAGAGGTGGAGTTGATCAGTTCTGCAGTTTTAAGCAGGATGTTTCAATAATTAAGGCGATAATTAAGTCCTATAATTAAAGTTGTATAATTAAAGCTTTAGTACTACTACATAAGTTGCGCATAGTAAAGACCTTTGTATTCAGACAACAATCTTTACTTGTACGGCTATAGTTTACTGTAGACTTTTATACGGGACGGGGCATGACACTAGACAAAGGTCTCAGAATAATCAGGGTCTTGCACAAAAACTACTATACATACGTACTAGTAAACAGCATATTCTTGAGAGAAAACGCAGATTTAACTGTCCAGTAGTGTAGTAGAAGTAGACAACCGAATATAATTTTCAACATTACATAATCATACTTTCTTTTATATTTGATATTTATTGATTAGTACTTGATTTTCCTTACTTTTGATCACCTCACTGTCCAGTCACTCCCAAAACTTGAGCTAACTCACCCCATGCCTTCTCCTTGCTGTTGTGGTCCATTAAATCCCAATCTAAAATAATTAGATTAGAAAACTGTGCAACTAAGAAACCATTAATTGACCAATTAATCAACTAAACGACTAAAATACTATTAACTTGTGAAACATCATTTCACATTAAACCTCGACGCTAGAAGAAAAGCATTCGACAGCGTCAGACCACACAATAAGAAATCAAGGTGAAAAAAAGTATATCTTGACACAAACCATGCATTTTGTAGTTTGGAGGTAAATGCGCAAACTAGATAACCTTTTCTCTATTACAAGTAAATGTTTATGTAAGTGTAGCACCCTGCCATCACTCACTGTGCTAATCAGTATTCCCAGAGGTAGAACCAACAGCGGGGAGTGTGGGGTGTTTACCTGGACCTAGAGTGGCCTCGGGGTGCGCCTGAGCTGCTGCTGCGATGATAGCGCTCTCGTTCTCGCTCCTCATACCTTCTCTCTGATGACGCCCCCCTCCTGCTCCTCCTCCCCGGGGAGTACGAGCGTGATCTGGACAAACCACGGGACACAGGGGGAGGCAGGTACAGATGAAAACACAGCGTGAAGAGAGTGAGGAGCAAACTCATTAAACATCAAGGGCAAAAAGTACTACAGAGAGGTGATGAAAATAATGGATGGAATATGTAGTTAATTTGAAACTATGCAAACTGTATAGCAGGGTAAGAAGACCACAGAGACCAATTAAAAATGTAACAGTAAAAAGTAATAGTAAAAACATGCTGTTCAATTATATGAGGGATGATGACAAGTGATCAAAATACTTTGTGTAGATCATAAAACAGATTCATTTTATTAGGAGCACTATGCAATTTTCCACTACCTGCTGGTCTCCATAGAGAGGCTATAAATTTGCCTTGAATTAAATTTATCTCCATGGACACACAGACACAGGAAATCGCGGCAGGTCAAGTTGTAGGTCAGATCTATGTAAAGTTGGCACACGATTTCAAAGTATTTTTGTGTGCTTGATAAATACAACAACAACAAATACAAATACATCAGACAAAGTAATAGCATCTCCATGGAACCAGATGAAGTTACATAATGCACCTTTAGAAAGAATGATCATTTCTTATTAGGTGTGGCAGATAGCGATTATTTCATTGTGCTGAACTGTGTGCAACTTGTGGTTCACCGTTCATAAGATTTAGAACTAGTGTCACGATATTACAATTTCAAACTTAATTTTGATACTAAGGAATAGACTCAAAACTCAGTACAGGTTCTGATGGCACCATGATAATTAAAAACACTTTCTTTAGACACATTTTCAACATTAAATACTAGTACTCTGGCATGCACACTGGCATATTATTATATAGAGGGATTATCAGACTTCATCACTTCGCGCTCTACTGCACATGTCTCCTGCAGAAAGAGCTGATGTCCTGTCTGGTATCATGCCAGTGTCTTGTAGGATTTCAGCTGATTTCAGTCTCTCCTGGGGACGAGGCTGGTTGTATTGATCTGGTATGAGAGGATGTCCGACTACTGAAGTTAGAGACATTTCTTCTCATCATTTACGCACTCACAGCATTTAACGCATATGGGTCATGAAGACATATCTCACTCACTAATGTTAATTTAGCATCATAACTTATTTTATTGCAGTGAGTTTTAGTTTTTTAAGTGTGCTGACAACACCGCTAGCTGGTGTTGCAACTGCACAGACGGCAGCACTTTCTGCACTCAGGCCACATCCGCTGTTTGGATAAACAAATAATCAGTCTAAATAATACCTTAGTCATCCAGGTAGGTTCAATAGTGGTCCAGTGGGTGTATACTAGTCTATATGGTCTTATACTTGTTCTGATACAGCTCACAATCAGTCTAAAGCTAAAGGAAAGGTTCATTTCTCTCCTGTAAATGTAACTTTTTTAGTTGTGATACCTTCCCAAATCAATATCTATATTTGATTGTAGTTTTAGTATCGGTAAGTATCTACTTCAACTACCCCCTGCAGGCATGTGAAGTTGCTGACATAGAAAATCAAAGCTAGTACATTATCCAAAACACGATATTTCACCAAGTCACTGTTTAACCTCCCAATAGGAATAACTTAACAGCCAGACTCCTTGATAGAGCACTAGGAGCTGCCATTGTTAAAGGCATTAAGACAGGTAATGTGACAGGCCGAGAACATAATGATTAATAACCCCGTGATTTATATCCTGCTGCTCCTGGGACTCAGGCACACAGGTCTCGGATGAAAAAAAATTAATAGAAAATAATTTGACGCTCCACTTCTCTCAAATTCTCCAGCCCTCCCTCTCTCTCTTACCCCTTTGTTAAGGACATAAATATTCCCAGAAACAATAGAGCCAATCAACGGCGAGCGGAACTGGCTAAAAAGTATCATATTCAAAGTTAATGAGAAAAGTGAGGGAATAAGGAGTGCAATGGAAACGATTCTACGAAAGATTATTTTTGTTTTGTCTTTTATCTGCTTATTGCTCAAACTATAGCACAAAGCAGGCAGTGGGTGACATTAAAGACGTACCTGATTTGTACAGTCTTAAAAACATGAAAAACAAATCTAGTTCATTATAACTGGTGGACCAAGTTTATTCCTCACTTACTGTATGCATTCCACGCATTCCCAATTTTTCATCGCAGTGAGTTTAGAAGCTTACACAACTCTCAGAAACCAGTTTAGACAGCACACAATGTACATATGTTGAACTCAAGATCTTCTTATACAATATTATCGGTACTAGGGGAAGACACATTTAGCTAAAAAAAACCCAAAACAAATCAGGTACGGGCCTTTAACTGTTCACTCGATATTCTTGGGCAAGGAGAAAGAGAAAGCTACATATTAATCCTTGGCTTTAATTTATTAAATATTAGAGGCGCTATGCAGTTTTGGAATCCATTTAGTGCTGACCTTTCTGGTAATTTAATCTGAGAGATAAATAAATCTTTGCTAATGACAACAAATGTGCAAGTGCTGTTGTTATCAGGGCTGCTCATAACTGAACAATTTACATTTAAAAAGACTTGTGTTGTGAGTCAGGGACATCAAGGAGTGTGGCAAAGAATAGTGAGGCTGGTATACAAAGTCTTTTTTTTACGACGTTCTAGTTAAATAAGTAAGCACAATAGGTCTTTTAATGGGAACATTTGTTTTTCTATTGTTAAGAGGCCATCTTTCAACCCTTGAGTGAAGAGCATTCCAACTGACATTAATACAGAGAAAGTATTGATTTTAGCACAGGCTATGGGAGCCAAACACATCAAAATAAATGGAATCATTTAAAGGTGCACTGTGTAACTTTTCTGGTAGAGACTCTGCCATCTGCTTGTCTCCATGGAAGTGTTATTGCTTTGCCTGGAATGTTCCACAGTATGGCTACTACTATAGTGATGAACAGCTGAGACCAACAAAGTCAAAGTAAATGTTTTTCAAGGGACTTCCAGCAACACCAACAGCTGTAATTGAATAAATGCAAGATAGACAAGGTTAATTCCATACGGTGGAACATTACAGGATGGATTACATGGAATATCTCCATGAAGACAAACAGTTGACAGATCCTCCACCTGAAAAGTTACATAGTGCACCTTTAAATAGCGAAAAGGTAAGTCACAGTCAAATACAAATGAATACTGATACTTTGCAGCTGAAGTCATCAACATTCCCTGGGAGCCTGATGCTACCTAAAGGCACTACTGTGTCAGATGTTCTAATAGATTATAATCTGACCTTTATTTTGACATCAGCCAATCTGGCCAGAAACAGGTGATTTGTGCTGTTAAACAAGTCTCCCATACACACAATTACAGTATGTAATTATAGCTAGAATTAGCTAAAAGTTTTTCAGTTAGTCACTCACTTTTTTGTTGAAAATGAAGCTCCTAAACAGGACCATGAATGACTCCTGAAACTGTGTTGTTTAAGCCCATTTTGTAATTTTTCTTGAGTTTGCGTAAAACTCTTTTGATTCTGTTTGCTTATGTGTGCATTGTGTCTCCATGATAATTGGTGAACATTCCACCATAGAGATACATGTGGAACACCCCCAGCGTGATGTCACTACAAAGTACCAATTGAAAGACGTAGGTAATGAGAGTTCTATTAATAGTTCCTGCTTCCTTAGTTCTTACCTGGACCTGTGACCTCTTCTGTAGGCACTGGGGAGAGAGTGTTTAGACTTGGACCGAGATCTGGATCTAGACTTGGATGTAGGGGAGCGTGATCGTCTCTTGTGTTTCTTTTTCTTCTTGTCTTTGTCCCTGCCTTTGTCGCGCTCTCTGTCTGACCCTCTGGAGTGGGAGGAGGAGGCCGTCTCGTCCCTGCTGCGATAGGCTGTGTGGGTCTCCGTGGGGGCCCTCTGATCTGGAGCATAAACTGGTGCCACTGATGACATGTCTGACAGAGCGGAAAGAGCTTCCTGCATCTGGAGACAAACAAAAGCAGTGAGTCAGCTCAAGCTTTATGAATGGATGTGGAGACGAAGACAGTCATTGATTGAACTAACAGTAAAGGTTTGCTCTTTGACATAGGACGCAATGAGAGATTTCCCAGAAGACCCTGCTCTGTACAGCCAGACAATAAATGTGAGCATCTATCCACCTAATGAGGCACAGGTGGCTAACAAGGCTTTTGAAGTAAAAAGATTAAACTTGTATTTGGGGAGTAGGTGTATTCCCTGAAGTAGGACTTGCCATGAGCAAAATATGCAAACAAAAATCAATGCTTTCACATATAATACAAAGGCACTGTATTGTGTTCCATGTCCTATGTCCCAGTTTTGTCTGCAAGAATAAAACCCCATTTCAAAGATGTAGTGCACCAGTTTATCAGAGTTGCAACATGTTGCAAAACAATTTTCTGATTTGCATACTAGTGGGACAGATATTTCAGTGATCGCCAGAGCGCCATGGCAAGGGGAAAAAAAATTTGAGTTTTTGTAAAATTTCTTTCTCACCACACACATCATTTGTCAGGTTCAGATTTACATAATATGGACTGAAAATTCTAGTCTGAAGTAAAGGAAAAGACAAGTCTTAACAAAATCTTAAAATATCTTGATTAAAACAGTCAAACGCAACAAAAAAAGATTTCATTTAAAAGAACACATTATGCAAAACTTACTTTTAGCCTTTAACCATGTTAGAATCTTGTTCTCTCATCCAAAACATACCTGGTGTAATTAGCATAAATCACCCCTGCTTGATTAATCCTGTTAAGTTTGCTCCCTCTGAAAACTTGCCATTTTCAATTTCACTGGAATCGTCAACGTCACAGGTAAAAGTTCTGAGGTCTCCTGCACTGTTTTTAACATCTAATTGTGCTCATTATAACTGCTTAATTGTGTTAGCATGTTAAAAATGCCAATGCAAAGTAACCATGTTTAAAGGCCTCACCATTACAAATAATGCATAGATGCGTTTTAAGACATATTTTCTTCCTAAAGCTTAAGGAAAAAAAAAAATCTTAATGCCAAATTTACCAGATCATGAAGAAAACTATGAATCCTAAACACACCTACCCCTTTAGGTAGGATCACAGCATACAGAGAGAATGGTCTGACAGCTGCAAAGTGGCTGTAATTGTCCCAGTGTGGCCCTGTCCGCTCACATTAGATTGAAGAGCTGCTGGATTCACTCTGTAGAGATGCTTTGAGTCCATCAGTGGATTAAACGTGACACTAAATTATCCAGGGTCACATTTTATTACCAAAGGTTACATCTCAAATCATGCCAAGCCCCGCCCTCTGACAGGCAGACACACATCTGACCATTTAAAGAAATTGTATCATTTATGTGCTAGCATGAAGATTAGTAGTACCAATGCATAAAATGGAATTCCTATATAAAAGACTCAAAGAAACGGGCGGGGAGCTAAATAAATTAAGTTGTATTGTTGCTTCAGCTACATAAATTTAAATGTTATATACTTAAATTCAAGTCCACCCCCCTACAGTCATTTGTATGAAATGTATAGAAAAAGATGGATTGTAAATTAACATTAAACAGATTGTGGAAAGAACAAGGAATACACAGATTTGGAGTTTTTGTAATGTTGGCCATTTTGTCAAACTGATGCATCTTCGGCTACTAATATAATACCAAAGGGAATACATCTTGAATTGAATTTGGTCAAAACATCAAACATTAAGACTTCAAATACAAATAGAGATGTCAGTAAAACCAGTTAGTTTAAAGCAGAGTTCAGACTTCAGATTCAAAAATATGCCTACTTCTTGTGATAAATGGCAATTTCAGGAAATTCACATTGAAAATAAATTGCATTTGTTTTAATAGGAAAATTATACAAATTAGTCTCTTAAGACTTAAGGTCTCATTTTCAAGAAGAACCTGTTAACCTGTTGATAATGAACCTCTTAATAATAAATTGATCAATATGAGGACATTTTTTAGTCATATTGCTCATCCCTCATTACTTGCCAATACTTACCATTAGTTAATGATGCAAAAATAAAAGCCAGCAAATAAATACCTGACTTAACACAAAAGACTGAGTTGGCAAAGTAGATAGTGGCCCTGCAAGGTTCTTTGCTGGAGAGAAAGATACTATTTAATAAAACTATTATGATAGGGTTCCAAAATGTCTCCTATTATAACAGTAAATTATCAACAGTGAAAACAGCAGATCTCATTCATTCATTTGAAACTGTTTCCCAATATGTAATGAGAAACCAGCGCATAGCACCAAACATGAAAAACAAACAAATGATTATTTATTGCTGCCTTGTGTTTGTGTATTTATTTGGTGCCTATGTTGAAACACGGATAATAAAATGATACAGGTGAAACTTAGGAGTAGACTTATGAAAAGCTTATCCAGACTCCAGATGGAGAAAATGCCTGCACTCCTAGTCCTGCTCAGCTCAGATACCAAAGTTTGGATGGGAAGAAAAGTGTAGACCCACAGTCCCAGCTGAAGCATGAGATAAAAAGCAGCTTATGGTGTATTTAAATGTATTCATGTAATATAAAGTGCATGTATTGGTTAACATTTGTTATCAAAAACTGCTGGAGCTGCACTGGAAAAAAATATGAAAATGTATTAAGAAGAATAAACTAATTCACAAGCAACAAGAAGTCAAAAGATCCATAAAGTTACACTTAATTTTCAGGTAAAAATAGTATTGAAACAGACAATGTATTAATGTTTGGACAAAAAAATTACCTAGATATTACTATGAAAGTCACTTTGACAATAATTGCCCTATCCCGCAATCAGTAGTGGTAAAGGTAAAACAATGTTAGCAGCATTTCAGATCATACTTTTCGATCAAACTTTATACAAAACTTGATTAATTAAACATTTAAACCTCAATGTGCAGTTTTTGGGGGGTCTCTGGACAATAAAAGCAATGCACCAGTGAAACAACTGGATTGGCATTATTGGAAATGCTGTACTCTGTAACTTGATTTTAAATGTGGTTAATTACAATTATCTGGATACAATTACACTCAACTACAAGTAAAATGACATATTTAAATACACACTCAAAAAAGTACAATAGACATGAGTATTTGTTACTTTCCACTCATGCTTGCAATCAAGACAAGACCTTTTGAAGCTACAGTTTATGCCAATTAGAATGAGCGAAAAACAAAATCCTAAAATCAGAGTGGAGCATATTGAGCGGCCTGTTCCCTCCTGGAAGCTTGCTCTAGGTGCTCCAGTGCTGTCACTGAAACATGATGAGCACGACAGGAAACAAGGCGAACCTACATAAAAGGATCAAGTCAGCTCGTTTAGCAAACTCGACAAAGGCACGGCATCAGCATTCACCTGTCTTCTAATCTCCAAAGACCCACGGTATAACCGGTGCAGGGGCTGTGAAACTTCAGCTTTGCAAAATTGCTGTGCCCATGTTTTTAAAGAGGGGGCATTTTTACTTCTATCGGGTATTAATTTCTAACATATAACATAGATCACCATGTTAACTTTCATTTTTATTTTAGTTTCGAAAATGTTATTCTGCTAATGAAGCTACTACAAATCATATCAGGTTTGCCAAGTTGTTGTGTAGTTTTGTATCATGCATTTGCATTTTTATGGAGAACTGTTGCGTGGGAGCATGGATAACATAGGTTTGTGGGCTGAGCATTGGACATAATCATATATTCGTATTTACATACACATACATTCCCTACAAACGTCTGTCTATTTAAAGTGTGGATGGGGAATGAACCTAGCACTATAAACACCTTAAATTTCTTCATGTAAATTGCATATACTTACCACTACAATACCAACTATACTATACCATCTATACTATACCATCACAATATCTACTGATGGCAAGTAAACTTCTCCTGCATTAAAACACCTGCCTCATGTCTCTTGTTACAACACTGACTGCTTCAATTTATTCCACAACAAAAATCGCAGTTTGCCTTTTATCACCATATTGCTGAGACCTACAAGCCTTCCCTTCTAGTTTCTATTGAACATCACAGAGTAGTTTTCAGTAGTTTAAAGTCATAGCCTCACACTTCTCCACAGGTATAACTTCCTGATAGGAGCTCAGATGGTCAGGACAGAGCAGAAGTCACCGTGGCATCACAATGACTAAAGTGGCTCTCACAGTGACAGCAGCCACCTGTCCCAGCAGGAGAGAGGCCTGGTACTGCATATCTGTGAGAGGCTGACATTAAGCATCCATCAAACGGACAGGCCATCTACACTTCAAATAACCCTGACGCGCCTTATTTACACTAGAAAGAAGATGTCCCTGTGAGTCAGGACAAAACACTGAATGCATCCAACTTTATAAAAAAAAGGGGTATCCTATTACTAAACCATCTCTGTTACAAAGATACCAGCTCTGTGACTAGTAGAATAGCAAAGATAAGGTTTCATACATTATTGATATACTCTATATTAGGGATGGTCTGATATAGATTATTTTCAGCAGATACTGATATCAGCTATTTGTCTTGTTGTTGTGGCCGTTAACCAATATTTGTCTGTACTGACATTTTAAAATCCATTGCAAGGGCCAAACTGATAAGTTATAGTGATGTTTATAATTTACTTTTTGCTGTTGTCAAAATAATAATACAATTTATTTGTCTGGGATAACCGCAGGCATGTGCTCAAAAAGACAAATCTAATAACAAACTGGAAAAAACAAAAACAAGCAAAAACAAGAAAAACAAACAAAAAAACAAACAAACAACAAAACCATAAAATCATAAAAAACACTGGTGTCAAATCACCTAAGTATGTGGTGCATTTTCTGTGTTTTTTGTTGCCACCTTTAACTGCAGCATCTGTTTTCTTTGTTTTATGAAGTGCTTTCTAATTTAAAATTCAAATGGACACGAAAACCTTTGTATCTCAATTTCTGGGCAATTATGGAATGACATGAGCCTAGCTTTGAAACAATATTCAAGCAGGATAAAATTGAGTACAGAGTTTATGACAGCGGCAAAAATCAAAAAGATTGATATATCACAATCTAAACTTTGGTTGATCTTGATGATACAGCAAGCGTATTTTAACTGACAGATCTGTAGCCACTGCATGGCAGTAAAAGTGCATGGTACTGAAGAGGAGTTACAGTTCAGTGCGCTGTGGCACTGGAAAGAGCCGCAGTCTCTTTATGTCCAATTGCATGTGCTCGCATTTCACGAGTTCCCTTTCTCCCTCCCTCTGATAAAAGCAACAGCTCCTTATCTTTTCTCCTCTTTCTTTCATCTGGTGCTTCTTATCATTATAATCCAAGGTAAGAATGTAAATGACTATTTTCTTTTCATTTACGAGAGAAATTTAAGACCTCATTTAGCGCACAGAGAACGCACAAGTTTCTGCCAGTAGAGAATGGATCGAAGATGAAATTGAAAATCAAGGTTGATCAATATGGGGGAAAAAACATATTTTTTTCTCCCATATCGCCTCGTCCTAATTGATTCTATTTCTTAGTATCAAAAATGAGTTTGACATTTAAGTATCGTGCCAACACTAATAGTTTATACTTCTTCACACTTTGACAAGTACATTTGAAGCTCTGTAGCCTTTGTACAGAATTTAGTTTTTGACCCATGACTGCTCTTAACATTTATGACATGATGTGCATTTATAGTTTGCATGTTTGACATAAATGCATTAATTCACTTTACAGCGTCAAATTGTTCCTCTAAAACCCAGCGCGCTTCATTTACCTCATATTGTGTAGCTGCGTCTAGCTCTGCTCTCTTGGCCTCAGGCTCTCCTGTCCCTGGCCCTCTCAGAGTCTGGAGGAAGAGCGCTGCCTTCCTCTTCCTCTCCGCCTGGAGCTGCTTCTCCTTGGACTCTTTGGACGCCTGGGCCAGCTTCTCCCTGGCTGCTGCGGCCAGGCGGTCCTCCAGTTTGTGCTTGGCTGAAGGCAGGGGCAGAAGTGGGCAGCACAATAGAGATGTGGTTAGAGGGGGAACAACTGTCACCATGTTTGTCCTATTTTGGGTATCTAAAAGTTAAAGAGGGGATATTTTACATCTATGGGGTAATAGTGGCTAACACATAATATATTTAGATAGAAATGTTACCTTTTATTGTTTTGAAAATACTATTATACCTAAAAACAATGTATTAACATGTTTTTTTAAGTTTCACTTTTGTTTTTGATGGTCTAAGTTTCCCCTCCCCATTCGGAGTGCTATCACAACACAAACAGCGTGCATCCCACTAATGAAACTGATGCACATTGCATTAGGTTTGTCAAGTTGTTGTGTACAGTTTTGTTTCATGCTTTTGTACATTTACAGAGAGCTGCAGTGTGGGAGCAGGGATGTGGGCTTGTGGGTTGAGCATTGCAGAGAATTTTACAGGATTAATTTAATTAACAGGATGCATGGTTAACATCTAATACCTCTTCAAGCATGTTTTGATGATGGAATGTTATAATGTGTAATGTTTAATTATAAAATATTGGTAAAAAGCTAAAAAAAAAAAATAATTAGAATTTTTTTGTTTGGAGGATAAGCCCCTTGAGATTTCTCGCCATCTTGTTTTCGAGAGGGTCCTCATAGTCACAACAACAGAACACAGATACAGTAGGGCCTCTTTAATGTGAGTATATATATATATATATTTTATAAAACACAAGGCAAAATTATAATACAAGGATGGATCCACTAAATTGTTTGCTGTTAGGTTAGGTTGAAAAAACAGGAACATCTAAATAAAAATGAAAAGCACAATTCCAATTTAATTTCTGATATGGGTTCCAATTTATTCTAATAGAATCAAAATGCTAAAAAGTCTGACAGCTCTCATTTTGCAAGACACTGATTAATTTTGATTCTAAAACTCAAACTCAAATCTCAAATCTAAATCCAAATCCAGTGTTATTTGGAGCCACCTTTCCAATAGAAATATAAAATGATAATTATTTTTAAAATATAATATTACATTATTCTAAAATTACAAACGAAAAAAGGCAGAGGGCAAATGAAATAAAAAAACTGGTTATTTCTATGAAAAGATTCAACAAGGCAACAAACGGTTACACACACTGCAGAGCTAAAGATGTTTTCCTCTTTTGCACTTTTTACACTTTGACTGCAGTGTAAATATGTAGCCTGTAAAAAGCCTTGTGCCTGAACCACTCATGTACTTATCAGACGAAAGTGCATTTACTGTGCGGCTCTTTTCTAAGCCATCAATACAGATTAGCGCTGGGCTGCCACCGATTCTACTGCTATCTGATCAAGTTAGGCCCTCTGACTGACAGCCACTTTGCCGCACAGCAAAGCCAATTCACTGGGCTATTTATTAGGCCTTTGCAGCCTCCTCCTCCGGACGTCTGTCAACTGAGAGGAAGAGCATTAGGCTGCGCTGCTGGACCTAAGCGGATCTGTCAGCACCTCCTGATGCACAGATGTAGCGCATTTGTCTTCAACAGTCTGGAGAAAGAGTTGGGCATAGAAGATATTACTTAACTATAGGCCGAATGGCTGTCCACAAAAAATAAGCAGAAACGCTGAAATCAGCTCTTTAAAAAGTCCACACTATGTTCAAGGCGTTTGGCTCAACTGCTGGCAGCATAAATTGGCAGGTTGATGCCAAAGAACCTGTCAGAATGTATCAGAATAATGCGGAATGTTTTAAATAATTTCAGCACCTCACAAATAGTAGATTCTGGGGAAACACTTTAGAAGAGGGTGCGATTTTTACATATTCATGCTGTCCTATAAAGGCAGCACTTTGCATAATATATTCACAGTATTATGTAAAACCTGATGGATGGCTTGACAGACAAAGTGAATGGGTTGCTGTTAGGCCTTATATGTAGATACAAAACTGTCAGAATATTATATTGCTTGCTTTCTTACTAAGGGCTTAATGCAACGCAACCTGAACTGATTATTTATCCCCCGTCTCTCTGGTTTTACTGCACTATTTCTCCTCCTCTCAGAATGTGAAAGCCTAGAGGACGTGACAGAGGTGCCTGGTAAGCACTTTGACACATGCACAGATAAACATTCAATTGCTCCATGCCTATATCAGGTGCGTCACCAGAGAAAAGAGAAGAAAAACAACTCCATGCATGTGGGATGGTTCTGTCGCAAGTTCCAGGGCTTATTCATATACACAAACATGCTGGGGATAAGAACTTCTGAGATTTGTTTGAATGCAATAACACCAAAGACAGAAAAGCGTAAGCAGGCACGGAATTAACAATAGGAGTCTTTGATTAAGGTTTGAAAGGTATAATATATTGTAATTGCTAGCAAAATATAACAATAGATTTATAAATATGTATTGTATGGCTCACCAGAGTTATATAGTACAAGGAGCTCTTAAGCTGTGTGTTGTCCACAGCTAATTACAACATTTCATTGGCCATGAACCAGGAAGTAACACTGGTGCACTGTTAGCAGGCTAGTCATGGCAGCTAGCAGTGGTGTAATTCTGCTCTAGCCTCTCAAAGTTGTGAAACATGCTCATAAACTCATCAATGCAAATAATTAGGATGCCATTTTATCACAGTGAGGAACATATTTGGTCAGTAACAGTTGAACTGTTTCTGTTTTTTCATGTTTTTATAGCAGAACCAGGTAACATTTTAAGCTTAATAAAAGTGGTAGGTCCAAGTGATGGTTAAACACGTATTGTTAGGATGTTGGAAGCGTCCATCATCTCCACCTGCGTCCTCTGGGCAGAAAACCAACCTTGCAAAAATGGCTGTCAGCGACCCAAAGAGTATTCTCCTTGGAAAACCTGGCTCTTTTTAATATTTGGCAATATTATGTGTTTTTGTAAAGTTGGAAAAAAGTTGTGGCAAGGGTGTTACTCAAGTTATTTGGATGTGCTTTAGGACAGTAAATTAGGTTCAACACCTTGAATCAACAGAACAGACAATCAGCAATGTTATGTTATAAAGATTATTTACTACCTTGCTTAGCCTCCAGCTCCTCCAAACTCAAAGTGGGCTTTTTTTCTTCTTGTACAGCGAGAGGAACCACTTCCCTCGTCACCAGCTCAGGTACAGGCATTACAACTTCTGAAGCCTCTTCTTCCATCTCCAGCTACCAAACATATTCACAATAGTTAGTTTGAACAATTATTCCAAAAGTCTTCATTAAAGCACCATCAGAGGTAAAATCTCTCTGTTGGATTGGTGCCAGTAATATCTGAGTAAGTGCATTTCAATTAGACCTTTTCTTCATCTGAGTCATCGTCTAGCCGGACTCTGTTCTTCTCCAGTGGAAGCATGTCGTTTTCCTTGGCTTTGATGGCAAAACTGATTGGTGCAAATGAGGCTGAAAATGTACAAAATATAAGCTATTAACATTAGGGCAAAAATGAAAAGCAAACTCCTCGATAAAATAAGAATTCATAACTTTTCGAGGAATAAGTAATGAATTTGGCACAAGGCAGAAATCATGATTTATAAGAGGCTGTCAAAATGGGAATATGTGCAAGTTTGTTGACAGTCTGGAAGTGGGTGGACAAAAACTAAATGCAAATAGATGATGAGTAAATATTTATATAGAACTATACAATAAGTATATGAAAGACTCACACTCTAATTAAACATGCAAATCTCTCAAGCCTATTCCGCTTTAAAAAGCTGAAATGATAAGTGGCCCTATAAAAAACATGAAGAATTTATCCAGATTTGAGGAAGATCACAATTTGATTTTATGAATAAAATCTGCATATTTATTAAATTCAAAATAATCTTGAGTTTCGAAGTTTTTGAGACACAAATCAATAATGAAAAGTGTACACTGTGGCCATTATAACAAAGTTCTCTAGTCTATTACCAGGTCTGTTCCATTTGCATCTCGATTTCATTATCTGATTAAAGATCATCTCAACTCTAATTAATCACACTTGAATATTTCTCACCAAAATTATGTTTTACTCAGGAATTTCAACAACATTTATATAAAAAGTACTGAATATGACATTTAAAGGTGCACTATGTCATTTCTGCTTAGTCTCCAGGGAGAAGTTATTGCTCTACCTATAATGATCCACAGTATGGCATCACATATTCTAATTTCAATGAGAAAAGATACTGACACCATCACCTCACCTATAACACCACCAAGTTAGGTCTGTTATGTGGGGAGACAAGCCCACAGTCACTGTCACATGTTTATCCAGATTTTTTTGCCATTAAAATGAAAAATAAAAAATGTAATTAAATAAAAACAAGATTAATAGGTTTAAAGTCAAAATTCCCCATTCAGCAACTGTTGAAAAAGGTATTAGTAGTAGTGGCAAATTATAGTGTTCAGTTGCCTTTCAAGTATTGGAACAGATGAGTAGCTATCCAGCAAAAAATTGTAAAATTGGCTAGCAAAAACTGTTAAGAAGATTTCAGGCACTTCTGCCAGTTTTATATTTCCAAGTAGTGGATTGTGCACTGCTCCATCTATGCACGTGTATACCGTGGCCTGCTCTGTGACCCGTCGCCGCCTTGAGCAGTACTATGCCATTCCACTTGCTCCTCAGTGTATACATAAGAGTGCCGTCAGCATTGTGACAACTAAACTCTTTTTATCTCTCTGTGCATACTGATGCAAGTCTGACACAACCAAAGGAACATTTCAGGTGGAGATAGTAATAAACTAACATAAATATGAGCTTTCTCAATGGTATGCATGCACAAGAATAAACAAGTCTATTTACCCAAAGCCTCTGCATCTCATTTACCAAGTGACTGAACTTAAGAGGCAGTTCTACCTTTGTTCAGCTTGGAATCCTGAAGTGACTCGTCTGATTGAAGCTTATCACTGGCATCCTCAGCGCTTCTCTAGAGAGAAGGGAAAGCAGACAAACAGTAAACACAAAATGATTTGAATCAATTCATTGTTCATGTCATGAAAAACAATTTGACAATTGGAGATACAAAGTCTCACAGTGACTACAGTCAAGTCGCGGTTATTCAAGTTTGTTTGCAAAGGTATAAAACAAGCACACACAAGGAGGAGCACACAAACGGAGCTGAAAATGAGACTCTATAATAAAAAAGACACACAGTTATGATAGATTACAAGTAGAAAATTGTTGTTGATGGGAGGTTTTGAAAGGCGCCATCAAGAGGAAATGATTTCCTGTCACTTGGAAAATATGCAAAAGCAATCACTTTTGATTGAATGCAAACCATGGCTAAAGAAATTGTCAGTTCCATTCACATCTAAACTTTCAAAAGCAAATAGAAAATAGTCCCATCATTTTAACATATACATAGCCTACTTCCTTCAGTTAGGTAATCCTAACCAAGACCAAGACTCAGTTCCACAAAAGAGGTACTGCAGTGTGATTAGTGTGAGCATGCTCCTGAAAGGTCTGGTAATCGGTATATAAAACCATGTAAGTTATACCTCAACAGGAACTTCTAGGAGCTTTAGGCAACAGAAATAAAAGTTGATGTAACTTATCTGAAGTGGGGTTAGCGAGCTGCTCACTGCAATATAATGATTACTTTGCCTGAAATATTCCACACCATGGCATTAAAATGATCTATTAAACATTAGTTCATTACTAGTGATATAAATGAATTGCTCAAAAATCCCTTAAAAACTCTACATAGACTTGACCTATAACTTGGCCTGCATCATCTTCTTGTTTCCATGGAGGAGCATACTGTGGAGCATGGAATGGCATACCCCTCACTAGAAACGTGCACCTTTAACACATTAAAACACTCTTCTCCTTCCATGCCCAAATAGTTAGTTTCAATTATGTAAAACAAAGGAATCCAACTTCAGCTCAATACATATTTTCTCTCAGCATCTCGGAACAAAAGCAGTTGTAGTGCTGATAAACACTAGGTTGGGCGTGGGAGTGTGAAACCTTCAGGATATATTTAATTACGCTTCTGACAACTCTCTGTCACTTCATTGTAATTGAGCCTCTGTTTCAATAATCATTAGCGTGGCCCCACAGACTATGACACTTAAAACAGCCAGAGAATGAGATGCTGACTCCAACCATTGTGTGGAGGTTTCTGTAACACCAGGAAAAGCCAGTAATTGTCACTGTTCTGAAACGCACCATCTCCGCAGGCTAAAAGTTCACACTGGGGTAATGTTGAAAAGGCTTCAGCGTGAATGCATTATAAACAATCAGCATAGCAGACGAAACCTTTAGAAAACAGTTTAGGAAAATGACAGTCAATTCACAGCCAAAATAGGCCAATGCCAAATATAGCATCCTGTGTGTAATGTGTTTAATTGACTAAAAAAATCTAAATTTGGGGTAATCTGGCTGCAAAGAAAATTAAAACATGTGTAATCCTGCTAAACCCTGCAGAGCCATGTGTTTGTGAGCAGCAGACTTTCCCTAAGGAGATTATGCTTGTAGACTGGTACTATGATACTTGTATATAGATAAAAGGATAATGAGTTTGTCTTTTTTTCTTCTTTTTCATTGTTCCAGGAGAATTCCAGGTCCGGGTAGTTTTGCAACATGCTTAGGGTATATTTTCATTGTATTTACTTGCATTTATTGTACACTACCTAGCCACCTGGTATTTAGGGCTGTAGTCAGCAAAAGAAATTCTTGGTTGACTAAAAACAGGACCTACCGTTTGATTAGTTAATTTAAAAGGGCTTGGCAAAAACTTTAAATCTATTACGTATCTCTATGTATCTGACCCAAACTGCACTCACAAGAGTTCACGCAAATAGAACTATTTATGAACAAAAAAGAACTAAGAAACAATGTACTGCATATAAAACAGATTACATTTGTCAATCAAGTTTAATCTGTTTAATCAAGTTTAATCTGTTTAATCTGCCTCTTTACATATAAATACCAAATCTTCAGGTAACTCACGCACTGCTCCTTTTGGCTGTTGTCCTATAGAAATCTTTATAATTCAAAATAAATAATTTGTCGACTAATACAAATTTTGATTAACTAAATCACTATTAATCTTTTTATCTATTACAGCTAAAGGCTACAGTTCTATGGCATTTATCTTATTTGATTGATACGAGTTTTTATATGTATTATTTTCATTAAACATGAAACTAAAAACAATATGACCGTGACATTCGAAATATCTGCATTGCATTAGCCACACCACCCAGCTCAAAACACAAAGCAGGTTTTTGTGACAGAAAATGGGAGCTGCTGTTGCTGTTGCTGCTGGTGGGTGCAGCCAGAGCAGGATTCTAATGGGCCACACTTCCCCACACACTGACAGCCTAATGGATTTGATTCGTCAGATGACAAATTGCTCTTTGTGGAACTTTTCCAATCACTCCGTACTCCTTCTTGCTCCTGGCGACAAAGCAGGCTCAACAAATTGTAAATAAATGTATGCATGCGTTTATGGAAGGCATGTGCCCACAAAACTATGAGTGTTTTCACACATTTTAGTGCACCTCGTGGAGCAGCCCCATGGCGTAATAGATTCTTTTTTGTTTACCTCACCACTGGTTTGGTCCTTGTTTACATTTGAAAACACTAGGACACGTTTTATCTTACTTATTTTTCAATTTCTCAGAGAACAAAATATGCTGTATACCAGTGGTGCAAAATATTACTCTATAAACTCTTGGGCATGGGACGATACAATTCTCACAAGATAAGACATGAGATATAATTTATAAATACATTGTAAAATCAGTTCACTATTTTGGTCCAACATATAATATTTTTGTTGCCACTATGCCAGTGCGTTTGGAACTACAGCTTAGTAGTAATTCACTAGTGCCTTTTTCCAATCAAAACATAAAAATCTGGAAAAAAACTCAAGATAATTTTTCTCATGTATGCAAACATGTAAACAATACCATGTTCTGTTACCATTTCTACTGGTTAGAATCGACATGGTTTCTCCTTCATTCACAGTTGAAAAGAAACTGTGGGGTGAGGCATCACTACATTTTTATCATGCCTCAATATTTGTACAAACTAGTGCTACACAGCAAATATGCACTTCAAAGAAGCCTCATTGTGCTTGCTAGTAGCTCTACTCTCACCAAACAGTGCTAGTTTGAATGCAAGTTGAAATAATTAGGCAAAAAGAAATTATATAATTTGTTGAGTCAAACATGTGTGACCTTTCTTATTAAAATGCACTTTTCAGAACAAAGCTTCAAGGCAATTATAATTGAGTCGGTTGAAGATGTTATGTACAGTGAACAGTTTTTAGTCTGTATCTAAAGTTCAAAGTACCTCTGGTGGGTCTTTCCCTTCTTTCTGCATGAAGTATTTCTTCTTGAACTCGTAATAGGTGTTGTACTGATGCCAAGGCAGTAGAAAGTCGAACCTGTAGCGAACAGCAGCAAGAGCAGTAAGTAAAAGATGAGATGTGGAAGCTCATAAGGGACATGTCAGAATATGATTGAAGAGCTTGTATGTGGAGGCAAAGACTATGGGGAGAGATCCTTAAACTGGGATTTGATTTGGGAAACAAATTGCACTCACCGCGGATCATTTTTGGCTCGGACGCTCGATTCAAACTTCAGCCCATTTCTGGCAACATATTCGGCCAGTTTGTCTATGACAGGCTGAGTGTCTGGGGGAGGGGGGATGATGGCGGGCATCGCTGGACTGGACAATGGAACATCAAGCTTTGAACTAGAAATGTTGGAGGTGGGAAACAAGAAGAAGAAACGTCATTGAGTTCTAAGAGTGATTTTAGCAAACTACTAAGATATTAATATCCATTCTGTTTTCGTTGCATTTTGTGATGACGTATTTAACTATAATACAATAGCAGTTACTTTTACTATTGTATAGTAATAGAGCAGTATAATTAGAAATAAAATATAATGATAATTGTAACATTTTGTTATGTTGGAGGCCAGTGTTTTGAAAAAAGTGCTAAAAATGTAAAATCCTTAAATTCTGCAAGTGTTAAAATAAAACATAGCACCTGATGGTCAAATTAAAATCATGACCAAAAGGCCATTTTGTATTTTATTTTATTTTGTGCAATACTTAATATTTCTGAAGGAGGGTCTGCTACCTGCTCATCTCCATGGATGTTATTGGTGTGTCTGGAATGTTTCAGAGAATGGCATTAAATTCATCTCTCGTTTATTTTCTTGCAGATTTTTTTTAATGTTTAAAAATATTTTGCCTCTCTACAGATCTGATTTAGTGGCTGGTAGTTTAATGCCATACTGTGTAGGACACTGCAGGCAATTTAATAACATCTCCATGGAGACAAGCAAGTACATACAGCACAACAAGTAAATCTTTGATATTGAAAATGATTAATGATTAATGCTATATATTGTGCTCAGAACTTAAACATCTATTGATTTATTCCAGTTTCCTTACCTCGGTTCTGGTAGAGCAGCTGGTGGAGGAACAGTGGCTGGGATCTGTACTGGGCTCACTCCTGGTGGTGCTAAGGCCACAGTCTGAGGAGGGGTTGGTGTGCCCATGTGTGGCTGGTGAGCGGAGGAGGCAGTAGGAGGGGCCACGGCAGCAGTTGGCATGCTGTTGTAGTACGCTGTGGCATCTATCCCGGGAGGAGGCGGGGCTAAACAGAACGTACCATCTGGAAGCATGTAGTAGCCATAGTACACCGCTAGAAGAGTGAAGAAGAAAAACATTAATGTGGATCTAAGCAAAATTTCTTTTGCCCCAGTACAAACATACTGTATAAGCAGCTCCTGAGATCAAAATAAGTCTTCTGTGTACTGCCTGCATCTATTCAGGAATCAGGAAGCTTTTTATTGTCAGATAATCAGGAAGTGTGTGTTAGCATACTAATTGCACCCTCATGGTGGTGAATAATGAGGATGCTCGGAATGCATAAGATAGGTGAGGAACCAGTGCAAACTGTTTAAAACGAACTAGTTCTGTTTTTCCACGTTTTTAAGACAGTAAAAAGTCAGGTACAGCACCTTTAAACATCCAACAAATCGGTGAGTAATGGCACTGATTTTTGCTTTCTAATTTAAACTTCAAACACAAATCATATGTTAACTTTTGGTTATGGCTGAAGGGCAAATGATATAAACGAACATAACATAACCTTTAACATTTCCTCATTCATTTCAATCACTGCTGTCATAGATTTAAAAAAAAAGAAAGAAAGATGGTCAGTCTAATGAATAGCCAATGTCACAGAGGAAGGAGTGAGATATTAAAACATTAGTCATTTTCCTGGTTGACATTAATGATGCATGTAATTTTCTTTGGTCGCTTACAAAGCCGACATATGTCACAGTAAGTCTAAGTGTAAGTGCATGCCAACAGCCAAAATGACCCTGGATAGCCAATTAGACAGTCAAATGTGTTTATATATATATATATATATATATTATACCCATACCATTATCAAAGTAGCTAAGTGTGTGGAAGTGTAAATAATAAAGATAGAGCTTGTGGGTTGGTTTGATAAAGAGGTCAAAGAGGTTTGAGTAGGATTGTTTGCAATTGCATGTATTTAGAATGCATTAGGTAGTTCAGTTATCTGTTTTCCAGCAACAATGAGGGCAAAAGACAACATTCACAAGAGATGAATAAATTGCTGTAATGGACAAGTTAACCCAAGGGTTACTAACTGAAATGAGCTCTTTCTGTGATGAAGAGATTGGATATTATGATTAAAATGAGTGGGAGTTGAATCTAGCATGCGTAATTGGAATGAAGAATTCCTATTGTGTTTTGAAATATAACTGAGAATTGTACAATTTTATAAATTGTGATAAAATACATGTTTACATTTTTATTTAAAGCAGACCTATTACGCAAAATTGCTTTTTCAGAGCTTTTATCCATGTTATAGTTATTAGTATAGTTATTGTTATAGTTTCCTCTTTCATTTACTCTCTGGAAGTTGGATTTGGAGTGATTCGTGCATGTGTGAGCAATCTGTCATCACTTATTTTCAAAATGCCATATTGCTGATCAACCCCTATTGTCACCATCACCAGCATACACAAATTTCTCTGTACTTCGCTCTCCAATTTTATTTTCTTAATCGGTGATACATGTAGGATTCCACAGTGTGACATGGTCATTTTGGTACAAAAGAAAAAAATCTGCTACTCGCTAGCGTGATCTGCAGCTATCCATCGGAGTTGCAGACTCTTTGTAGTGATGGCAACGCAGTTTTCTAATGCGGAGCTTGTTTCTTTCATCAACTCCTTTTAGATGAAAAATGCTATTTAAAATAATTATAACAATGATCCACGGGTGTCATATATTATAACAATATAGCAGGCTCAAGCATGATATATGTTCTTTAATAAGATACTCACGGTCTGCACTGTACTGTGTTGGTGCGG